GGTAAATGATGACATCAACTAGGTCATCGGTGTGAGGGTGCTAGCGAGCTATATCCACCCTGAAGGTTAATCTTGGACAATATCTGATGATCGACTATTTTTTTTTTTTTAAGGATGATCGACTCTTTTAAATGAAACCAGAGAGGAGAAGGTAGAAATGACTCAGCCTGGAACTGAAAATATGGATGGAGGACCTCAGTGACGAGAGGAGAATGTGTAGCGCTGAGCTAAAACATATATATGGTGATAGCGTCAGGGCTAACGCTAAAGCTAACAGGCTAAGCTGAGGTTCTTCTTCCATGAAGAAGCTCTGTTGTCCTCCATCCATATTTCAGTTACAGGCTGAATCATTTCTACCTTCTCCTCTCTGGTTTCATTTAAAAGAGTCGATCATCAGATATTGTCCAAGATTAACCTTCAGGGTGGATATAGCTCGCTAGCAGCCTCACACCGATGACCTAGTTGATGTCATCATTTACCTAGAATGCTTTGCGTGTAAATAAAATGGCTCTGTCTGTGTAATATATTTTTAAACTTTTAGCTTAAAAACTATAAAAACTAAACATCCTACAGTAGTTTTACAGTCTTTGTTTTACAGTTAAAGTATCTGTTTATCATATAAAGTCTAATGTTACAACTAATCGGCGATCCCTTTAAAGAAGCTATGCTGCTCTTCAGAACTAGTTTCACTTGTTTGTTTCTTTGCTGCTGCTTTTCCTGTAAGGAACTAACACTGTCTTCACATGCATATTGATGTTGATGACTTCATTGTTTAATATTTTATGTTTATTTATAGAATGTACAACTGGCCACCAGGCCTACAGATGAAAACCAGCCTTTGGCTAATTCTGAGTTACAGATTAGGGATGGGTGATATGGACTAAAAACATCACAGTAATTTCTAGGTTTTATCATGGTAACGATAAGTGACGATAAAAAATATATATCAGCCTAATCTTTTGTTTTATAAATCTATCGCTACATTTTGTCTTCTGAGCTCTAAAATACTACTAGAAGCCACTAAACTACATTAATTAAGTTCAAGTAGGACATCTATGTTGTAAAACTGACACCCATCAAGCAAGTCTGAAATATACAAACAAATCTGACATTTATTTAAATGGTGTAAACAGCAAAATAACTCAGCTTTAAAAAAATTACAAAGTAGTACAACTGTAAATACAAACTGATAAAAAATAATAATAACAATTTTAATAAACTGAAATGATATTTTGTGCAAGAATGTAGAAGTAAGGCCGGCAGGAACATCTGTATATGCTTTACACCTTTAGATTTTTTTGTCAAAAAGGTCAGCGCATTAACTGTAAACACTGCTGGATTTTATTGTTTTTATTGTGATATGACAAATTATTACCATGATGAATGTCTTTGACAGTATATCGCACGTATAACATATTGCCCGTCCCTATAGTACTGTTATTAATACGAACTGTCCCGCTAAATAAATAAACTTTATGGATCTCTGTCCTATCAGTTTCTTGAAATAAACTTAAAAACGTCACAAAATATTAAATATTATATGTATTTAGTGTAGTGTGTGCTACCCACAAACTGATCACAACTATTAAGCCCATTGACCAGGATGGGCTTAATTAGGATAAACGTAAGGGTTAGAATAATAAAGGAAGCAATAGTTGAATTATTTTAAAGAAACAGTGATTTTTTTTATTGCTCCAGTAAATATAAAGCAGGGCTATTCAACTGGTGGCCCGCGGGCCACATCCGGCCCGCGAGTGAACAAAACTCAGTCTGCCAATTGGTTCATTCATCTCTTAAGCCCAAACCCCCAGTTTTCTACTTTAATTACTATAAGTTTTTTTTTTGTTAAACATAAACATGTTTGGTATCTACAGAAACTTGGCTACAAGCTGGTCAAAACCATTTCTATAAACACTCAAGACAGTTAAAACAACAAGCAGTTGAAGAAAAAATGATGAAAGTGAAAATAAAATTGGTTTAAATATTTGGCAAGTCAGAGATGTCAAAATTATATTTGCATGAAATATGAGGCAGAATGTGTTCTTTTTGTTTTTGACATAGTTTAATTAACACTACATTTATTAAATAGGGTTCTGTATGTTGTATTCATGATTAAATGCAGCAAAATAAACTAATTCAAAGGTAACAGATCTTTGTAATACTTGGTTTATTTACATAATAACTTTAGTTGCTGGATGTTCGGTCCCTGAGATGTTGACCCGCAGTAACTGTGGCCCCCGGAGCAGTTTAGTTGAATGTGTGTGTGAGTGAATGATCCATGAAAAATTGTAAAGCGTCTTTGAGGGTCTCGAAAAGTGGTATACTGTATAAGACTAATGGATTATTATTATTATTGTTATTATTATAAAGGCTATAAATAGATAAAATTAGTGTTATAGTATTAAACAGGCAGATGATGATATCCAGATTTAAAAGATAACAGTGAGTCAAATTGTTGCCTATTTGTTAGATTCTAAAGCTTTCCTTTCAATTACGTTACACATGTTCTAAGATGGAACCAAGAAGTGAAAAATAAAAAATAATTATAAAATATATTTGGATAGTGCTGGGCGGTATACCGTTGTTATGATATGAATTTTTTGAATACCGGACATTCCGGTTTAAATAGCGGAACGTTTCGTCGCGGCCGCTAGTGAACTCTTGTTTCCCGGGGGACATTTTTCCTTGCTGCACCGCTATGTGCGCTAGCATGCTAATGTTTGGAGCAGCTAGTTGCAGCCGCGGGTGGCGATTCCGCTGCTTATATTGACTGCTGTTTAAAAAAACATCCCGTTTTCGCCGTTGCTGAATGTAGTAAACACCTCTTCAGTGACGTGCACAGTTAGATTTAACGCGGTTAGTTAATATGGAGACGTTATGCTGATGGAGACTTAACGTGGTTTTATTGTGAAAAGCCTGCAGGAAGTAGTTCGTAGTGGAGTTGGAATTGACTGGTATGCAAGGTGAGTTGTGCTGATAAGCTTTAATAAATAACGTAAAACAATAAACCCGATCATAATTTTTTCTTAACCCTCCTCCTTCTCGACTGGACCAAAATGCATGACTACTGTCTCCAACCACCAGTCAGAGAAGAACAGACAGAGGAGGGAAACAGAGACACAGACAGAGGTACAGTAAAAGAAAAATACTCAATAAGCAGGGTTTGTACATTTTATTATCAGCTGAGCTGTGATGAAAAGAAAAATACCGTCAAAAACTGTGAAACCGGTGAAAATGTTGAAAATACCGTGATATAAAATTTTGATCATATCGCCCAGCACTATATTTGGATTAAAAAAAAACAACTAAGGAGCATGAAGAATCCAGTACGATGTTAAAAAAGATATATTTTCTGGTCATTTTGAGAGTTTGCATGCACAGAGGAGGGTTCTGTTCTGCACCTCAGTGACTCAACACAAGCATCATCAACAAAGCAACCGGCTCGTAGTTAAACATGTTTGCAGGAATTTATGCAGAAAATGTCCGGTAAGAAAATCAGCTGCCCTGATGTGAAACAAACAGTTGCTTTCTCTCCAGCTTGGAGCAGATTTGCGTTCAGCCACAGCCCTGTTGACACAACTCGAACACTAAACAGCTGCAGAGGTCACAGGCTCACAGTGACCTCTCTGTCTCAGGCTGCCGTGACTTCATCTCTGCTCGACCTCATGCAACTGCAGCTCCTCATCCAAATCTGAGATCATCAAAAGCACCGGCCAAGGAAGAGTAAAACCCTTTTCTATTTGTATTAATGATACTGGGGGGAAAACTTTCCATACATGAAGAGTTTTGACACAAAGCATGGTTTAATGGGAGAGATTTCCTCTAAGAGATGTGATGCTCTGGCGCCCCCAAGTGAAACAGATCGGCTCTTTGTGAGAGTTTCCACAATAATGAAAGAAAAGAGTTTTTGCCAAAAGTTTCTGATGCAATCAAACAAATAACAGCACCATAACAGACTTTTTTTTTATTTCTCCACACATGGACAAAAAGAAAAACCCACAAGGATCACAAAAACATCTTAAATCTGACAAAAGTAATAAATAAAAGTTATCTAAAAAATAAACAAATGAAAGTCAGACATTGCTTGTCAGCAGTGACGGGCCGTACATTTTACACCTAGGCCTTGAATTGGGAGAGAATCAACCTGCCGAAAGAAAGAGCGGGGAGGGAGAAGAGGCTGCCGGCTCTGAAACTTAATAACTTTGAAATTAAGAAAAAAATTCAAATCTATAAGCCAGCCGAGGTGTTGAGGGGATCCGTTTTGGTGGCCTTAGGATCACATCTCTGCTTTTTGCAGATGATGTGGTTCTGTTGGCTTCATCGGAACGAGATCTGCAGCTCTCACTGGAGCAGTTCTCAGCCGAGTGCGAAGTGGCCGGGATGAGGCTCAGTGCCTCCAAACCCGAGGCCATGGTCTTGAGCCGGAAAAGGGCAGAGTGCCTTCTCCGGGTCAGGGGGGTCGTCCTGCCTCAAGTGGAGGAGTTTAAGTATCTGGGGATCTTGTTCACGAATGGGGGAAGAAGGGAGCGGGAGATCGACAGGCGGATTGGTGCAGCGTTTGCTGTAAAGTGGGCGCTGTACCGGTCCGTCGTGGTGAAGAGAGAGCTGAGTCAGAAAGCGAAGCTCTCGATTTACCGTCGATCTACGTTCCTACCCTCATCTGTGGTCATGAGCTTTGGGTCATGACTGAAAGAACGAGGTCCCGGATACAAGCGGCCGAAATGGGTTTCCTCCGCAGGGTGGCTGGGCTCTCCCTTAGAGATAGGGTGAGAAGCTCGGTCATCCGGGAGGGACTCAGAGTAGAGCTGCTGCTCCTCCACGTCGAGAGGAGCCAGTTGAGGTGGCTCGGGCATCTGGTAAGGATGCCTCCTGGACGCCTCCCTGGTGAGGTGTTCCGGGCACGTCCCACCAGGAGGAGGCCCCGAGGAAGACCCAGGACACGCTGGAGGGACTATGTCTCTCGGCTGAACGCCTTGGAGTTCCCCCGGAGGAGCTGGAAGAAGTGGCTGGGGAGAGGGAGGTCTGGGCCTCCCTTCTGAAGCTGCTGCCCCCCGCGACCCGACTTCGGATAGGCGGAAGAAAATGGATGGATGGATGGATGGATGGATGGATGGATGGATGGATGGATGGATGGATGGATGGATAGATGGAAGGACAGATGGGTGATGGATGGATGGATGGACAAAATAATGGATGGATGGATGGATGGATGGATAGATGGCTGTCATATAGGTCTGTATGCAGAATGGTGGGGGGGGGGGGACCCGTCTAATCTACAGACAATCCGTACAACTTCACACGACGTCACGGCTACAAAAACACCAATAATACACAGAAATGCAGAATAATTTACCGCTGCACCACAGACTGAAGTCTCAGCTGTGGACATAATTAACTGACAACTAAATAAAATGTTTAAATAACATATTTTACTCACCGAAACTTTTTATTATCCGTTTAAAAACTCCATCCTCCTTTTTTCCTCAAGAAAACTCCAGCTCCTCTGTCATACAGGTCCTCACAGTGTTTTGTTTCAAAAGTAAGTCCTTTCCTACGACCACCATGAAGAAACTGAAAGTCTCATCTGTTCTGTTCTGTATTTTCGTTAAAGTTTTAATTTTTTGTAACTCTGAGAATGTCCGCTCAGCACTGAAACTACGGGATTTAGTTAATTAAAAATTTTTATTAGTTATATTTAAAGCAAGAAAGACATTATTGCCAATTAATTTACAAAAGTTTTTTGTCTTAAGTTCAAATGACAGAAATAACCTAAGAAAATATGATTTTAAAAGTAAAACTGTGTGTAATACTTTAAAGCAAATGTGTATTTCAGTTTATGGGGTAAAATTAAGGAATAGTTTGGATGATGATTTGAAAAAATGTTCTACTTTAAATTCAATTTAAAATACTTTATAAGGAAAAAAATATTAAGTCTTATACACTTTTGAGTTGATGAGGAGAACGATATATTGTTTGCAGATTCTGTTTGTGATTTAATGTATGTGGCCATGAAAAATAATTGTAGTTATTGAGAAAGGAGCAGGTTTATACCAGGTTTTTCTTCTTCCTGCTCCCTTTTCACTCATGCATAGTACAGTACGTGTTAAACGAAAATGTGTTTGTGTGTTATAATGAGGAAAATTGTTGAATTGAGTGAATAAACTTATATTGAATATTGAACATTTAGCTTATAAGACGCTACAGAAATCTAGTTTCCCGGTTGTGACTCCTGCTCTCTGATCGTCCAATCAAACGATGAGAAAATGTTGACGCTGTCTGAGGCCAGCTAGCAGGCTCTGGTGTCTTCACCTCAGCACCTGATTGGTTAAAGCAACAGTATCACTGCTGTTAATCTCACCCTCCAGGTGCCTTCGCTGCTCATTCTGAAGGCCTGAGGCAGATTTCTGGACCCTAGCAACAGATGATGATTGAAATCTGATTGGATAAAACCTCTAGATAAATACAAGCTGCTGGAAGCTGCGCAGCCAGGAGAAAAACAATGAAACTAAAAGAATAGATATTTCAAATATAATAATATCCTGATAAGAATATGAATAACTATTATAATAAATATAAAATATTCTATAATGTAGTGATTCTGATTGTATTTAGACCAGCAGAGAAGACTTTGCTGGCCCTGACAGCACACCACTGCTTCAACAGAGTCCTTTTTATTATAATTTTGTCAGATTCAAGTAATTTCTGTGACCATTGTGGGGTTTTTTTCCACTAAACGAGGAGCACCAACAATTTTGTCCATGTGTGTATACGTGCAGACTTACCTATTAGATACACACTGCACATTTGTCAAAGTGGTGAAATTGTTCCTGACAGTCCTAAGGCTCGCCAGAACCTAAACAGAAACAAACAAGATGAGAAACTGAATAAACATAAATATAAAAGTACGTGAAAGTGTGCAGAAAAAAATGATTTGACTCGCACAAGGACTTATTGTTTTATTTACTTAGTATCATTTTTTTTTCTGCTAAAACTTCAGCAACTTTTGACAACAGAACAGGCCTAAAATCTGCTGCTGAAAAAAATAACATTTCAGACAATAAATCATTCTTAGAGGCCTGAAATTTTCTGAACAGACTTTGCAGGGAACCAGCTATGATCTAACTAATAATAATAATAATAATAATAATAATAATAATAATAATAATAATAATAATAATAGATGTGATTTAGCTTGAGGGTTTATACACAACACAAATGTAGCGTTTTATTTTTATACACAGATGTAGCAGCTAGCCTTTTGTTTTGTAATTTTAAAAGCTACATTTCCTTCATCTATAAGTTCAGTCAGTTTTATTTGTATCATTTATGTTTTCACACAGACAACATTTGGAATCTGATTTTTATGTAACTAAAATAAATTTTCCCATTTATTTTAATTTTAAAAAGGGTTTTAGTTATATGTATGTTATCCCAAGTCACTGTGAGATTCATGAAAAAAGCAATAAAACACTAATAAATAAAGAATAATCAAAGGGACATGTTGGGTGGAGGTTCAGCACCAGATTTGTTCTGTTTATTCCAACTAAAAGTCTTTTAAAGACTCGGTTTATACTTGTAGGAAATTAATAAATTAAAAATTAAAAAACAAAACTGAATAAATTTGACTTGACTAGTTATTTTTGGTTGCTTTAAAATATGACATCTAAAGTATGCAAAAAAAATCTAAATCTACGGATGTGTAATCTAAAAGAAAGTTGAGTTGTGTTAATGATTTAAAATTTAAAGTCACTAATTTAGAAGGTTTCGAGGTTCTGTACACAAAGACCCCATCTTTTTATTTTAATTTGTGTCTAAAAGTTATCTTTAAACTGCTAAGAGTAAAGAATGGGCTCGCTTTCTTTAATGCTATCAGCTTGTATTTGTCGCCCTCTGGTGGTCACAACTGGACAGAATGCGTTCTTTATTCGGCATCTAATTACCTCAGAGGAAATGGCATTGCATTTAAAGATTGTTATAGATTTATAAACTTAAAATAAAGTTTTACCTGAGCAAATGGAGTCACAATCAAGTCTTCACTGTGCCTGAAATGAAATGTAATAATAATAATAATAAAAAAGAGCTCAACACAAACATTTAATCATGTTGCAGCGATGCTGTTCCATAAACTCACAGCTCTCCAACAATAGAAGAATTTCGAGACAAGGACTTGGGTGATAGGTCATAGTCGCTGTCAGAGCGATACAGGAAGGACTCCCTGCGTTGGCCGTGGGCCGCCACGTTGGGGTGCAGGACCAGGCCTGAGCCCGGGGAGGCCTGCGGGTCTGAAGGACTGCAGCACAGAGACGGGCCATTCTCAAACTCCAAGCTGGAGGAAGACAGAGATGAAGCCGAGGGTGTGACATCATCATTTCATGTCACAAAATCACTTTCACTTGTCAGAAAACACGTTTTGTTTTAGTCTTGTCGTGTAATTCTGTTTGATTGTCTGTCAGAAAAAATATCTCATGAACCAGAGCATAAACATTAAAGAAACTTTTGGAAAGTAATCACTGGATGTTTGAAAGATAAGAGATAATTTAGGTGTGTTTGTTGACCTTAATACATGTTCGTAACCAGTTGAATGTTTGAATATGAAAACCACTCAGCTCTGGGCTGAATGCAAGATTTAATGAGTGTCTCTGCTCTCTCCATGCATCAGCACCCAAACCCAGAAGTCACTTCATATACAGCGGGTAAAATAAGTATTGAACACGTCACCATTTTTCTCAATAAATATATTACTAGAGGTGCTAATG